CATCACCCAAAAACTGATATGTTAAGGAGAAAATAGAATCATTTAAAATAAAATGCTTAATTAAAAACCACCAAAAAAGAAAAAAAAACAGAAAAACAGAAGAAGTCACATAAAGGAACAAAGGAAAGGAAACTGAAGTCAGGTATAGGTGGCTCACTCCTGTAGTCCTAGCTACTCGGGAGGCTGAACTGAGGATTGAGAGGGGAAGCCAGCCTGGACAGGAAAGTCTGTGAAACTCTTATCTCCAATTAACTACTCAGAAAAGACCAGAAGTAGGTGTGGCTCAAGTAGTAGAGCACTAGTCTTGAGCAAAAACCTCAGGGGCAGTGTCCAGGCCCAGAGTTCAAGCCCCAGGACCAGAAAAAAAAAAAAACAGAAATGGCAAATACATTCAATATTACTACAACTAGGTTGACTTTGACTATAGACTGTCTATATGCGTTACTTAAAACATTGTTGGTGAGAATAAAGAAATAAAACCCAGTGCAATCCTGTCAACTCTGAGGTTTACATGGAGCTATACCTGAAACAAACAAAAGACTTGACTTTCTTCATTGTCATCTCTTCATTGTCATCATTTTTAATATGGTATTCAAAAACACTTATGAAGACTCTCTGCTAAATGCTTACTAATGTCAGATTCATTTGCACCTATCAAAAATGAACCAAATCATTCTATAACTAAGCATAAACTGTAAACCCAAAATGTGATTCACACGTTTAAAGAGGTTTAAAATTACCACCTAAATTAGAGCCACTCTTTGCTTCTCAAAACTGCAACTTGACACAGAATCTGGTTACATACTCTGTTCAGACAGTAATTCAACTAGAAATGTATACATTATGACTTGAATTAAATCTAGAAAAGTGAAATAATGCACGTTGAGTTAACTTGAGGTTGGTTTGCTTGCTACCAACTTTATTTTGAGTGAGGTTTTTCATAATAAAACTTGGCCTGCTCCTCTTCAATTTTATAATCATCTGGAATATTCTGTTTAATAAGACTGCTTCCCCTGTTATAAAGTTATATGACAGATTCATCGCAGTAAGTTATGGACAGAAATACAAGGCCACTGATGACAAAAAATACTTTATTAGGACCAGAAGCAGTCCTATAAACTGTAACAGAAAGGGAAGGGTGATTAACAGCTGAGTAAGAATTCTCCACTCAAGCCAGGTACCAATAGCTTACACCTATAATCCTAGCTATTCAGAAGGCTGAGATCTTATTTCCAGCCCCAGCAGGAAAGTCCATAAGACTATTATCTGTAATTAACTACTAAAAAAAGAATAAGGCTGGGAATGTGGCTTAGTGGTAGGTAGAACGCTTTCCTGCATGCATGAAGCCCTGGGTTCAATTCCTCAATACCACATACACAGAAAAGCTAGAATTGGCTGTGGCTCAAGTGGTAGAGCGCTAACCTTGAGCTCAGAGAGACTTAGGGACAGAGCCCAGACCCTGAAGTCAAGCCCCAGGACCAGCAAAAAAAAAAGCTAGAAGTGGAGCTATGGCTCTAGTGTTTTAGAGCACCAACTACAATAAAAGCTCATCAAAAGCACTCAGGCCCAGGACTGGCACCATAGAAATTGTCTACTCATAAGACACATAGAAATCACCTCTAGATGGGGCTGGGAAGGTGGCTCAGTGGTAGAGCGTTTGGCTTGCATGCTCAAAGCCCTGGGTTCGATTCCTCAGCGCCACATAAGCAAAAAAGAAAAAAGCCGCAAGTGGCACTGTGGCTCAAGTGGTAGAGTGCTAGCCTTGAGCTGAAGAGCTGAGGGACAGTGCCCAGGCCCAGAGTTCAGACCCCACGACCGGACCCAAAAAAATAAAATTAAATAAATAAATAAATATACCAAAAAGGGGGCTGGGAAGGTGGCTCAGTGGTAGAGCACTTGCCTTGCATGAAGAGCTGAGGGACAGTGCCCAGGCCCAGAGTTCAGGCCCCATGACCAGAAAAAAAAAAAAAAAAAAAAGAAATCACCTCTAGAAAACTCAAGTGAGGAAAGGGGCAGAGAAACATTTTACTCTGTATGACTCTATTGTGTTACTTTTCATAATAAATAATGAGCCACTGATAGTAATGATACTGTCTATGAACACAAGGGACATAGTACACCCTAAAATGCCCCCAAACCTCTCTCAGCAATGCAGTAATGCCACAACCCCACACAGCAAAGGCTATGCTAGTGAACCAAAGTCCTGCCCTTGGGTATACACTACAAATTCACGGGCTCTCCATCCATTGCCATCCCCCATGCTTTTGCCTTCTGTTCATTACTGTTCATAGTCCAGTGTGTCAGCTTCGCTTTGTGCCGCTTTATAAGTATCCACAATGATTACTATTTTAATGCAATATCTTAAGACCAAGATAAACAGGACAGTTTAAATGCATATGTTATGGCCAACCTTTGACTCCCACCTCTAACTCCACCCCCACACTCTTCTACACTTACATACACACACACACACATACATACACACAGACACACACACACACAGCCTCTAGCCACTGTCACATATTTCATCTTACCAGCTGTTTTCCTATTACCTTCCACAGTCTATCCGACAATGGCATTATTATTGATGCTACAATAAACAGCTAATGTATGTAGTAAAAACATATCACTACAATGAATCAAAATGACATGCCCACTCATCAAACACCCTCCACTCATCCTAACACTTTCTACTAATGATGTTTTCTACAACACAAGAAAAAAAACATTAAAGTATTCCTAAAACCAAAGAAAAATAAAAGCAAATGTTCAGTCCATAGAAATTAGAAAGTAGGCTCAACCAAAAGGCATGTGTCTTATAATATGATAATCCATCAGGTCTATACATATCCTACTTGATCTAATATTCTAAAGAACATGTAGCACAGTGTCACACAAAGGAGTCAAAGTATCACTATGAAACAACCTTTCTGAAATTTATCTTGTAGACAAAGAATGAATTTACTTCTTTTGTTTGATTTTTGCTTTTTGTTATCATTGTTGCTAGTAACAACATAAATTTGGGATCTTAGTTTGACAGAATGTGTTTACAAAATAAGATAAAAGTAACTCAATTATTCTTAACATTTCCTTTGTTATTTCTGAGAAAGTATTAAATTTTTTCCTTTCTCTTCAAAAATATGTTGTGTTCTTTGGGGTCAGGGTACAGCCCCAAATGGGGTTGCGGGGTAACAGTGGAGGAGTACTTGTCAAGCATGCATGTGGCCCCGGTTATTCCAGAGTCACAATAAATATCTGGATAGCCAAAAAACAAACAAAAAAGATCATGGAAAACTAGACCTAATCATAACATTATAAAAAGAATAAATTTTATGTTTAGAACATAAGCTAAAAATGTACAGTTGGACTACCAGTTTCTTTCCCAAATTCAATGCCTGGCAAGTACAGGAAAATTGTACGATGCTTGCCTCTCATTCTGTTTCCTGATTGGGATAACAAACATAGTAATGGTACCTAATTCTCACCGATTCTCATAAAATTAAACGGAATGAATAATATATGGTATGTCTAGTCAATGTTAGCTTACATTATCAGCATAAATTCAGAAACTCAGGCACAAATGAGTTTGTGATTTCTGAGGTATTTTAACTCCAAAGCAGCAGAATCAGCCCTAGAACTTGGAACTGCTCCTAGATTTATACATTTGACCTTTTTTCATTATTATTAAGCTCATGTGATTTGCATTCTAAAGATTTTACTTTCAAAGGAAAAGGGGAGATGGTAGAAAAAAAAAAATCACTTGGATAAGCCTGGCCTAGATTTTAAAAAGGCTGTATCCTGTCCCAACTTTGTGGACTGGTGTTCAATGCATACATGCAAAACAAAAATACATACACACACCAAAGTAAGAAAGAAGAGGCCACAAGTAACACACTCAAAACTTCAGCTTAGACTAATACAATATGATGCATTAGAACATAATTACATTTCTTATTAAATGATTAATCTTAGGGTTTGAAGAAAAGGTCATGCTAATGTTAATTATACATCTTTTAAACAACTTCAAGATATTAACAATAGTATTCGTTATAAATTAATCTCTTGGAAAGCAATTTGGCATCATCTTTAAAAATTCAAAACACATAAATCCTTTCTTTTAAAAAACAAAATTAGGCCGGGCGCTGGTGGCTCACGCCTGTAATCCTAGCCACTCAGAAGGCTGAGATCTGAGGATCACGGTTCAAAGCCAGCCCGGACAGGAAACTCCATGAGACTCTCATCTCCAATAAACCACTAGAAAATCAAAAGTGGCACTGTGGCTCAAGTGGTAGAGCACTCGCCTTGAGCTGAAGAGCGCAGGGACAGCGCCCAGGCCCAGAGTTCAAGCCCCACAACCGACAAAAGAAAAAAAAAAAAACACCTAGGAGTTAACCTAGAATTAATTGGCAGAAGTATGAAAACATGCCAAAAAGAGATGCTGGGAACATTGTCAGCAACACTGAATATTAGAAAAACATAAGCACTCATTGGTGGGGAAATGATGATATGTAATGGTATATAGGAGATACAAAATGTTCCTCCAAATCAATCAATAAATCAAAAATAAATCAAAGTGTACAGAAATTTGTCTCCTGTATTCTATATCTTGTTTATCTATGGTGTAAACCTAGGATATCAAAATAAAAGTAAAGAAAGAAACCAGCCTTTCTCTCCCACCCTCCTTTTCCTGGCTCTCTTGAGATAAGCAGCTTTCCTTCTACCATTCACATCTACCATAGTGTAATTCACCTACATAAGCACGTGTACATACACACACACACACACACACACACACACACACACACACACACACTTGTTCCCACATACTAGTTAAGCATCATTAATCCAAAATCTCAATGAGAAAAATCTTTGCCAATATTTGTAAAAGACTCTAAATTTAAATAAAAGAAATAAACTAATTTCCTTTTTTATTTGAAAAGAAAGTGACAAACAGACCTACATTCATAGACAGAGCCCTTGCAGGTAGCTGGTGGTCTTACCTGACACTTGGCACTACAATATTTAGCAACTCGACATTGAGAACATCTCATCAGCTTCTCCTTCCTGTTTAAAAAAAAAAACAATAAAAAGTCCACATTAGGAAAGGAGTAAAAACCTCACATAATTGGCTTAAATTATTACGTAGCTTAGTTGTTAATATACACCTGGGAACTGATTTTTAAATTGCCTTAAATTCAATTACTACTTTAGAAAAGTAGAGCTGAGATGCATCCAAGTTGTATCCTCCAAGTCACATGAGTAACAAAAACCAGAAACTTACAAAAATGAATTACAAAATTAAGAATTTAGTTTTTCAGCTTTTCTATACAAGACCATGGACAGTTTCAAGGTAGCCAAGAACACTAAATGTTGAAATACAACATTATCAATGGCTGAGCAGAACAGCTCTTTATAAGCACTCACTGCTAGGCTGGAGCAGTACAGTTTATTTTCCATCTAAAATACAAATTAAACTTGAAATAGCCCTATGAGGGTTGCCATGTACACTGTAGATATACCTCTCAGGACATTTTCAAGAGATATGAAGTTGATGCTATGGTGCAAATGCCGACCACAAACCGAATGTGGCTGTGTAAGGCTAAGATGTGGCCTTATACAAGGATAAGAACAGAGTTCTACAAAAAGTCAGAGTTCAAACACATAAGATACTTCCTTCACCACTGGGGAAACAGAAGGGAAGAAAAATGGGGAGGAAGTTAACATTCCAAGTAAAGTATGCCTCCTATCCCCACTGTAAACCATAGCTCTCAAATTCCAACAACAGACCATTAACCTCACCAACCAATCTGGCCCAAGTTTGGCTTATAACACTACATCACACTCCATGGCCACTTATAAATAATGCTGTGTAAAGATTCAGCCTTTGTTTAGAAGACATACTTCTGGCAACAGATATATTACACAGGAAGAGAAGCGTATGTCAGGCAAAGATCAACTAGAAAAAATCTGTCACCATATCAATACCTGAAAAGGTCAAAAGAATTACTAGAGATGGAGGTGGTCAGAATGAAAGTCTGGAAGACACCAGTAACCAGCTACCATGTACTAATAATAAATGTTCTCAGCCTCAACATAAAGTACATATAATGGATCCAGAAGGAAAAAGAGAACAATAGATAATAAGCTAATGCATGTAAGGTCTAAAAAATAGCCTTAAATATAGTACTATACATACATTGTCTATTCCAATAAAAAGATCATACAAGCTCTCTTCCAGGACAAGTAGTTCTACAAATTCCCTGCACTTTTTACATGAACGTGTGTTCACACATCCTTCTCAAACTCCTTTTGGTTCTTTTAAAAAATATTCATCCAAGCTATGCATAGGTGGCTCATACCTATGATCCTAGCTACTTGGGAGACTGATACTTGGAACACTGGGGCAGAAAACCAGCTCAGGCAGAAAAGTCACCAAAATTCTATGTTCAATCAACCAGCAAAATCCTGGGTTGGAGTAGTGGGAGGATATCAGCTGAACAAGCAAGCCACACAAGAGTATAAGGCACTGAGTTCAGTTACCACACCAGAAAAAAAAAAAGTGTGCATACTTACCAGGACACAAAGGAACTCTCAAAAACCTCAGAGGACCAGTATACGTTAGGACAAGCCAAGTATAGTGGTACATGCCTGCAGTCCCAGCACTGACTGGGTGGCGACAGGAAGATTTAAACTCTCGGGCCATTCTAGACTACACAAACACCCAGAAAGAAAAAAGGAGGGAGGGAGGGAAGGAGAGGATGAGGAAGGGAAGGGGAAAGGGAAAGGAGAGAAAGGGGAAGGAGAATGTTTAGGACTAAATAAGCAAAGTATCCAAGCTTGAAAAGACACAGGGAAAAATAATACAGAAACATTTATGGCTTTACATATTTATACACATGTAAAGCCAACAAATACATCAGAACACATAAATTAGTAACTTAATTTTTTAAATAGAGAACCAAGAAAAGCATAAAATAAAACACTAAAACCATAAAGCAAATATTTTTTAAATGAAATAAAACAAAAAGATACAACAGCGAGGACTGGCAATCCCAGAAAGGAACACACTACCAATGATTTGCAAATGTGTAAGAAGAATAAACGTAAACATAGCTCAAGATTTAGCAGAGGTTTAAAAACACATGAGAGAAATCTGGGGAAATGACAGTAGTGATAGTTTTTTTAGTTTCCTTGACTGTTTCCCAAAACAAGACAGAGCAAGGACAGCAGAATTCAATTGCCACACCCACACTGGCCACCACAAGGGCATAAACCCACGAGAGTACTCGAGTAGGCAGAACAAGTCACTAATGGCTCTGAGATCTGAATCAGGATGGAAACTGGAAGAAGCAACAGGGCTTCCAAAAGACAGTAAACAAACAAAATCCCAAAGTGCCCAACGATGGCCACAGTAGACTTGTAGCCAGCTAGAGAATGGCCGCCTGCACTGAGGAGAGGCGCCAGGGCTCCCTGGAGGATGGGGCTCCCCGATGGCAGACTTTCCTTCACTCCCTTTCCCCTGTCTAACTTACTCAGAGGCTAATCCTGGGGCCTAGGGCCCCAGCTATGCAAGGTAGGCTGTCCTCTCAGAAGTAAGCAAGATCACCACACCTAAGACCACCAGCAAGGAGCCATGACAAGTGCCTAGCCTGCGTGTCCCAGACCCTCCCATGGCTGCCAACCAGAGGCAGAACGCACCTCAGCATAAAATGGGGGCTAAATAAACAAGATGATCTCAATCCCTTGAATCAATTCAGTTGCCATTTGCCACGTAACAACCATTTCCTGACACGAGTTATTTAACTTTGGGAGGATGGGGGTGGTATTGCAAGTGAAATGAATGTTTAATTCTCACTTAAAAAAAAAAAAGTTAACCAAACTGTGCTTGATTAGACCACACACTGGGCCTCTGAAGAGTCCTTCTACCCTGGAGAGGGTCCCCAGAGACACTTGGGCAGGCTGAGAAAGGAAAGGAGGCGGAGCACAGCTCCAGACATTTTACAGAAACATTCTGCTTTTGTCTTAAAAAAAAAAAAAAAAGCCAGCACGGATGGCTCACGCCTGTAATCCTAGCTACTCAGGAGGCTGAGATCTGAGGATCACGGTTCAAAGCCAGCCCAAGCAGTAAAGTCCGTGAGGCTCATCTCCAATAAACCACCAGAAAACCGGAAGTGGTGCTGTGGCTCAAGTGGTAGAGCGCTCGCCTTGAGCTGAAGAGCTGAGGGACAGCGCCCAGGCCCAGAGTTCAAGCCCCACGGACCAACAAAACAAAAACAAGCCTGTCATTTTCAAATGAACACCAAAGCCACATTTCTGGAAAACAGGAATGAGCAAGACAAATGTCAAATGAAAAATAAGAATGATCTGCAGACTTCTAGAAAAAGGACCTCTTGTTTTTGACAGTTCCAGTTGCAAAACAAGTAGCACAGAAGGGGAGCTAGCGAAAGGCACATTTTACCTCACGTGGAGATGCTCCTCACACACCTGCTAGGCTTGGGAAGGGAATCCCACCACACGGACAAGAACTGGATCTTTCAGATCCACTTGGCTCTGGCTGGTCTTTTGCAACAAATGTAAACTCAATTTGAAGAATAAGAGCAATTTCAGAGGATGGAGAAGTCATGTCTATACAACATCTACAGATTACAAGAATATCATTTGCAAGAGGGCTGCCTAAAGAGGCACCCAGAACTGGAACTTCTCAATGAAAGATAGAATAGCCAGAAAATGGGAGTTTGACCTTTTTTCCCCTCCATCAAAGACTAAAATAATAGTGGTATTCTACCACCAGCTAAGAAAAGATACTAAAATTATTTTAGCAAAATAAATGAAAACTTAACTCACTCTCTAAAAAAAAAAACTGACTGCTTCAAAAGCAGGTCAGTTCCTAAGCACTCAGAGACACAGCAGTTCATAACTCTCAGTAAGTCCTCTCCCAAGTACAGGCAGAGCTTCTGAGCCTCAGAAAGAAAATAAAAACAAAGCAAAACTAACTGTTCTTCCAGTGTACAAATTAAGAAGCTAGACATGGGTACAGCAAACTCACTATCTCTTAAATAAAATCCATGGGCCCATCAAGTCTCAAATATGGGGTATAATTAGGGAGACCATCTTTTGAAGGGAAAGAGTACCCCACTAAAACACTATGGCCAGGAAGCAAATAGGTGGAAAGACACTCCCTGGAACAGATCAAAAGACAAAGAAATCCTAGTCACTACCACGCTTCCCCATCCCAGGTACCTGCAGACTCCACCTTGTCTTTCCTGTAAAGAACACGCCACAGGCAAAGGTCACGTAAGTGTGCTCAGTATGCAGGGCTCTCAGTGGTTGTCCTGGTCCCGGAGCTCCTCCAGGAGACTCTGACCCAGGCAGACACTGGCCCCACAGGGAAGCCTGGAGCCTTGCACTCCTGAAGCTTTCTCAACCCAGGGAAGCGTGGCCCTCCAAGACCAGAAAGGGCTGCAGAGGCCAGCGTGTGACTCTTTGTACATGAAAAAGCACCCAAAAAAAAAAAAAAAACAAGATTTAGTTTACAGGTGGTAGACATGACCTTTGGAAAGAAAGCTGAAAGACTAGAGGCCCTTCGGGAAGAAGGAAGAGGTGATGATGCAGGGGCTGATTTCGGGCTGCTCGCCCTAAAGCCAGCTGTACGGAGCACTGAGTGGCCTTCCTGTGAGGCCATTCTTCCCACAACCCTAAGACGCTCTTTGGCAACCAATGCACAGGGGGAGGACGGCCTGCCATGGACAGGCCGGCTCTTGAAAACAAAGCTGAGGAGAAAAGCCTGCCTTTGTCGATGGACAAAGCCAAAATTACTAAAGGAATATTGGTAAATGTGCATGTCCTCTGCTTTCTCTCCACCCAACTCCACTCAACCCGAGTAACAGAGTTGGAGCTGCCGGCCTGTGCTGAGTAGGAGGAGCTCTGCCACTTGAGCCACACCTCCAACCGTTGGGCTTCAGTAATTTTTCAAGTAGAGCATCATGATTTTGTCCAAGCCAGCCTAGGCCATGATCCTCCTACCTATCTGAGGTCTTATGAACTTCTTGCCTAGCTAGCCCTCCAATACCCCCCTCCCACGTAGCAGGGGTACAGTCCTGAGCCTCCACATGAGGCTTGCGTTCTTCCCCAAAAGCAGAGACCACAGATACATCATTACAAAATTTTCTGTTTGTAAATATCTTTGAAATTTAAGCATTCTGACTCATTAGAAACGTTAATGCCATGTAGAAAATATGCATGGAAATGAAATTCCACACTACAAAGATTATCTCAATTAAAATCATGTTATTTTACCACAGTGGCATAATTACTATAACTCACCAAGTAGAATATGCTGGAAAATACTAAACTTCTCTTTGGCATAAATATTCAAAACAATAAAGAAAAAGAATCTTCCATTTTTGATGCCAGATAGTAATTAAATTGGTTTGGTCCCAAAGGGCTTTTTCAAAATTAAAGCTACTCACTTCCATCATTCATCTAGCTACCAAAGCAACAGATACAGAGGAAATAATCTAAATTCATAACACAGGAAAACTGGATTGGTTTAGACTCAGATTTCTTTATTTCACATTTCTAACATTTTAAAGTAAAAAATAAGAAAAGTTAACAGTTAAGAGGTCCGGGAAATCAACCTGTGATTCACTGGCTGCCAACCTCCTGGGAGAAACACAAGCAGTTCAATCCATATTAGCACTGAGGGAAGAGCAGGGCAAAGCCTTTGGGCCAAGTCAGTCAGCAGAGGCAGACCGTCCCTCCCCACCTCCTCCATGTCCTGCGCTAGCGCAACAGTCCTCATGGAGACATAACCCACCTGCTAATCGGCAACTGTCCGGTGACTGCCATCACGGAGCCACAAAGTCCTGAGGGACAAGAACGGAGAGAGCATGCAGTCACTGCTTGTAGCAATCGTCATCTAGGAGGTCAGGGAATCGCACGCCACACGTGCAGGTCCTACAGTCCCTAAGCTCAGATAAAGGCATAGATGGAGAACACAGGGAGGCAGAGGAGATGGGAGAGCTATGTAGGCGAAGGTAAGGAGACCTCTTCAGTTGCTGTTGGAGTACACCGTCTGCAGTGCAGGCCTACCGCCTTGCAACCTTGGTCAGCCTCAGTGCCCTCCTCTGCCATGGCAAGTGGTCACTCCTCCATGGGCTGTGTGCAGCGAGTGACACAGGAGCGTGCCAAGCACAACGCTGACTCAAACGGAAGCTGCTGTGTGTGTCTTCAACATAATTTCACCTTCTTCTACAACAGCTGGGGGGGGGGGGGAGGGAGAGCTTCCCGGATGGCTGTTAACACAGCAGTACGGACAAGATCAGCCTGAGAGCCACCCTTTATGCGCTTGTCAATCATAGATACCCACGGCACTTACTCTAATTTCAAATTGTGACTAGCATCCAGAGCTTTGCTATTTTATATACATATACTGAAGTTTCTAATCCTAATATTTTTAATTCAATCAGAATGATTGACTTCAAATTAGTTGTAAAGATGGTTTTGAAGGTTTCATTTGTGGAAATTAAAATTAAGGGAGACTGCTAAATCTTTAATAATACTGAAAGGCAATTTTGTATGACATTCTATTTGTTTTATGCAAGGGAATGAGCTAAGAGGCAAATGAGTATTTTAGAATGCAGAGATTCTAAGCCTCCTCAGCCTATTAACAGCACTTGGTGCTAGCTACACAGCTGCAGAGGTAGCAGGCCACTTTCACTGCTTGGAATTTAAAACTGGTGAGCTGGCTATTAAGTAAAGTTCATTTGGCTCAGGCTGAAGACATAAGAGGCACACTAAAGAAAGCTATAACAAGCCAGGCACCAGTGGCTCACACCTGTAATCCTAGCTACTCAGGAGGCTGAGATCTGAGGATCACGGTTCAAAGCCAGCCCGGGCAGGAAAGTTCATGAGACTCTTATCTCCAATAAACTGCTAGAAAACCAGAAGTGGTGCTGTGGCTCAAGTGGTAGAGCACTTGCCTTGAGCTGAAGAGCACAAGGACAGCGCCCAAGCCCAGAGTTCAAGCCCCACGACAAAAAAAAAAAAGCTCTAACAAAAGGGAACTGCAAACAAGGAAATTCTTCTCCAATGACCACAGGTGCTTGTAAGTAAGACGCCCATTCAGCCAAACTCTGATCATCTGAGCATCTTCATTTTCCCTAAACCTTGAAATTTAAAATAGTAAAAACAGGAAGAAGAAAAATTCAGACACAACATCACACAACATAAATATTAAAAGTACCAGAGGTGCTGAATGCTGGTGGCTCACACCTGTAATCCTAGCTACTCAGGAGGCTCAGATCTGAGGATAATGTTGGGAAACCCACCCTAGGCAGAAAAGCCCATGAGACTCTTACCTACCATTAACCACCAAAAATCTAGAAGTAGAACTGTGGCTAACATGGTACAGTGTCAGCCTTGAGTGAAAAACTAAGGGAGAGTACCCAGGCCCTGAGTTCAAGTCCTAGAAGCTACCAAAAAAAAAAAAAGGACCAGGGCAAAATTCTGAAGACAGTATATTTGATCAACATTTGCATCAATACACTTAACCTTCAAAATGATGAAAACATGCTCATTTCATACCAGTGCCACTCTGGTAAATGACTCTCCCTCTTCCTCTAGTTAGAGAAATAAGCACCATTTCTCTACAGTATTCACAGCGATGAGGAAAACCTGCAGTCATCTGTCACTTCAGAGGCACGGGCGCATCTTTTGTTCTACCTGCTTTGGACGCTATTCTTCTCAAGAGACAGAGATCTGAGATCAATGGTCAAAGCCCG